ATTATTTTTGAAAAATCTCGAATTTTTCTGCTATTGAAGGCACGTAGAGTTCAGTATATAATTAAATTGTTGGCAATTTTCTTTCGGTGTATGTTCTTGTTAAATTGTTCGAATTTGATGTGTAGCCTTTTTCTAATGCTTTCAAAAATCAATCTTAAAGAGTAACCGTTGGTAAGTAAGATGTTAATAATGAACCTAAAGTTTTTCTCATGAAAAGTTGGATATGATAATAATAAAACACTGTCTATCAAACCTTAATTGTCCCCATTTTATGGCATCTCGGGTGACACGAAAAATAATTTAAATACTGTGCCGAGAAACGAGGGTTTGTGATACCAATCATATATCAAATAATCATCCTTCTTTATTAAGGTTACATCTAGAAAATTCAAACAATTGCCGTCTCTCTCCATAGTAAAATTTAATTGAGAATAGTAACTATTAAACATACTTAATAAATTAATAATATTTTCCTTCTGTATTGACAGTGCAATGTCATCAATGTACCTCATATAGAAACCCAATGCAAATGACAAACTCTTAAGAATAGTTCTCTCTAAATTCTACGCATAACAAGATCCGCTATTAACATTTATTAAGATCAAAGTCATTGGAGAATGTTTCTCTTATTTTCATTTTTACAGTCTTAAGATGTCATAAGTCAATCCGACAACTGTATTAGCATCTTAAGACATTATTTAAAACAGTTTTAAAATAAAAACGGATTATAATGAATACCGCCCCGTGTTTCGCAGTTGGTAGCCTTCTGCACTATGAACAGTCCATAGACGGAGAGGGCAAAGATTTAGAAAGAGACACTATCCAATTGCACACACCATGTTATTCCTTTCACCATGGTTTTTACTCACCTTGTATATAGAATCAAATATTTAATACTAAAAAATTTATTTTAGGAAAAACTTTAGAAGGCAATTCGATCAACTTGAAAAACAAATTTTCCAACATAGAATTATACCAAGAGACGCCAAGTTCAGTGGAAAATTTTAATAAACGGCATTTGCCTTCGAATTCAAAGTGCGATCAAGAGTCAAAGATGACTACATCCTCGAAATGCGATAAAAAAATTTTTCCGAAAGACACAGAGGAAGTAATGTTGTGTAAAATAAAGAAAGAAAAAACAAGCAAAAATGAAGAGGAAACGGGAAGTAACGACACAAAACAAACTGCAAACAAAATAAACTCAAGATTGAAAAATGCAATTGAATCATCGGTATTAAGAAAATACGGTGCTATAATGATTTGTCAATGGTAAAATATTTTAAAAAATTATTTCTTTCTTTCGCATTTTCGTTTATTTTTATTTTATTAAATAAAATAATGTAAAATTTTTAATATTTTTAAAATTATGACTTTATGATCTTTAATTTAAGGTGGACGTCTACAATAGCGTGCAACATATTTGATGATTTGACACCGAGTTTTCAGATTAACAGGCACATCACGTTCGCCCTGAGTGCAACTCTCGAAATGGCGACGAATACATTTGTATATTTTGTATTATCTAGATATGGTAGACGACTGCCAATATGTACATATCAATCTTTCAATGGCATTGTCTGTATTTTAATTGCGGTTTTCTTTATTTTAACCGCTACCGTTGCACCGTGGATCGGTACATAAGATGAAGGAGATATAACTTCTTCTATTGTTTATAGCACATTTATCATAATATTTTAGTAAATTTTATTAAATTTTAGAGCATTGTAGATATTTTTGTTTTGTGTGTATGACATATGTTTTTTAATGTTTTTATTTCAGATATCGCAAAGACGACAATGTTACTATTTGGCAAAGTGACTGTCATGAGTACCCTTTCTATTGTTTATTTGTATACTGTTGAAATATTTCCAACAGTGATACGAGGTCGCTGCTTAGGTTTATGTGTGATGTCCGCAAAAATCGGCAGCCTAAGCATACTGCATTTATTAGTACGTATCCATTTTTCTTGTTTAAGAAATTTTCTATTTATATCTGCAGTTTTTTTAAAGTGTATATTTTTTAATTTATTTTACTCTCCGATGAATCAAGAATTGGTAAAATTAGTTAATCAAGAGTCATAGTCATTAGAAATGCAAATAATTTTTTTTTTATTAGAGACATGTATCACTTCCGATACCGTTACTAATCATTGGAATGTTATGCCTCGTCTCCGGTGTATTGGTTTTAATTTTACCAGAAACACTGAACAAAATTTTACCTGATCAAGTGATGGATATGAAAAATATAATCGACAAGAACAATTGCAAGGATGATGATATCAATACAGAAAATGACGTAAAGGAAGAAGATTTGACAGAAAGACAAATTTTAAGGCAGAAACTTTTTTCAGAGAATTGGGTAGATGCTGGCAATGGAATTTTGGTGAATTTTATGGAAAATAAAAATACTGAATAATTTACAAAATAAATATTGTACTAATAATATATTATTGTACTAAAATTATCATATTTAATGGACATCTTTAATCCGCTTTAGTCTTACGAGATCCTCACGCAAACTATTCACTGATAAAACAGTGTTTAATAAACATAAAGCATTTTCTAAGAAACAATTGCTGAGCTAATCATATTCACACAAAACGAAAATTCTCATGAATTTCTGGGCTATGTTCAGATTTCCACCTAAGTGCCAATCAGATATCACTCCATCCTTGTTGTTTATCGAAAGTTAAACAAAGATGACAGATGATACCCAGAGAGCATCCAGATGAGAATTCGAACATGCTCTTGGATATTTAATAAATGCCAATCCGAGAAATTGATTGAAACTGATTCGATATGTTACTGTTTAAAGAATGCATTTTCACGCCACATAGAGATGTTTATCATGTTCACGCCACATAGAAAGACTATTATTAGACATATGTATATATACGCACATACAACAATTAATGTCGCAAAACTGATTAGAAAAAAATTAACTGAAGTAAATATTCTTTTAATGATTTCTTTAATAAATAATTTACTCATATTTATACATGAAAGGAATATGATTCAATGTAAAAATGTGAGAAAGTTGTGAATTATTTATCACAGTCAAGCAACAACCTGTTAATTAATCCCTATAGAAGCATTATTTATATTGGAAAAAACATTAAATACAGAGAATGAATATATGAGACAAATATAAAATTACAACTTTAGGGAACCTTAGGTTGAACAATACCATTGTTTTGAGAATTAGTTTGTTGCGTTTGCTCAGCAGCTGTTTGTAGAAGTCTTGTTCGACGTCTAGTGTAATGCTGCCATAGCAGAATCTGCTGATCGTCGATAAATTTTGTACATTGAGAATTCACAACTTCTCTTCTAAAGTGCTCATACTGTAATAAATCCAGGAAATACAAGCACATAGGATACTTTAAATATTTTGCATATTCTGGTTCTTTCCAGTACAATAGATATTTGAGGTAATTAATGAATGTCGCATCTTTGAAATAGCCACGTTGTGCCAAAACTAAAAATACATTTATCAGAAATAAAACAACTTTTTCTTTTAAAACTGCAAGGATCATTCTTACTTACAATTTAAGTAATTTGGATTGGCAAGACATTGTACAAACTCTAATTCAACCTGAAATCGTACTCGCTGCTGATCATCCGTCTCCGGAGCTCCTAAAATATAAAATTTTACATTAATATAAATTTATATAAAATATAAATTTCGAAATGATCAGGAAAAAATTTACCAATTAATTTTGTAGTGATGTACCTAATGTGATACTTAAAATTGGTTATTATATAACTTAATAAGTTAAAGATAGGTTAAAATAAAAATATATAATGTCAAGTGACTTTTAAACATTTGTCTAAGTCAATTAAAAACTACAGCTATATAATTTGAAAAAGATAGGTTAGGATAGAAGTGCTAAAAAAAACTAGAATATACCGTTCATTCCAATGAAAGATGGTTTCCTGCCTTTCATGAGCCCTGGCGGATCATCTAGTCGGTTCATAGTACATCAACTTTTGTTGAATAGTTGATCCCTTTTATACCGTTAAAACGGTTAGTGCGCGTATCAAATTGGTGCGGATTAAATATTTGATACGTCCTTATTTATACCTGATCTGTCTCGGAATGAACCTGGTTAGGTGACATAATGGCTATATTCCAAAATTGTTTGCCTGTATTGGAAATCTATAGTGAACATAACGTAAATTGTCGCATCTGCAATAAATTTAGAACAGCTAATGTTTTCACTTTTTCAAGATATAAAACCTCTTTATTCTAACTTTGGTAATTATTTAGAATAGCTACCTCACCTTCGATTTCGATAAAATTAGGTTCATTCGACACATTTTCAAAATGAAAATCGGATAGAAAAACGTGACAGTAGGCCTCGCGAATCAAGATTAAGCGTTAAAGTTAATAACTATTGAGGTTAGAAAATCTGTTACACTACATAAATCATTACACACAAAATGGCGTAAACTGCATTCTTGAGTATAAGATCTGACTATGGATACCGGCCATAGGCTACGTTTGCACATGTACTATGTTTGCACAGCATGCTTTAAGGTGCATTCACATGCAAGCGTTAAGCAGTGGAAGCAGCAACCAATCAGTTGGACGATATGGGCAGTGATATAAAAAATATTGAGTCATCTAAAAAGTATCCGCAGTACTTTGTCACTAGATATATGACCATCAACACACATCTAGTGACAAAAACCGCGGATACTTTTTAGATGACCCAATATTTTTTATGCCACTGTAAAACGCCTCGTTGATTGGTTGCTGCTTGACGCTTGCATGTAAATACACTTAGAGTGCGGTCGAGTTGTCGCTACGGATGCTTCAAAACATTTGTTTTTTTTATTATTTTATTATTGGTCAATTAGTAAAATTCTTTCTTCTGATTGGTTAATCAAATGCTTCGAAGCATTCGTAGCGGCAACTCGATCGCATCCTATAGCTGCTTTCACATGCAGCGTAATTTACGTAAACACAATTTGCGTCAACCAATTAAATCGTCTCAATTAGAATAACACGTAGTAGGTTACATATACAATTACGGCCAATATATTGGGTCATCTAAAAAGTATCCGCGGTTTTTTGTCACTAGATGTGTGTTGATAGTCATATATTTAGTGACAAAGTACCGCGGATATTTTTTAGATGATCCAATAAATGCTTCCTAAATTGAAATGGTGGTTAAAATAGCCAATAGGAAGATTGTCGGCATTTCGGCTTAGACACTGACGAGATACTATTTAAGATCGTTGGCCCTTGGCAAATTTTCATGACTATCAATGGGGCCCAGGGAGGCCTGGGGATAATTGAAGAACGATGATGTTACCGACATTTAATAAAAATTTACGATTATTAACATAAATATTTTGATAATTTATTATTAAAAAAAATCGAGTATTATTAAGTTTTAAACATATATACATGTCTAGAATACAAGGTGTACATTGTGAATGATAGCAATACTGGAAACAACCAATCAAATTTTGCCCTCTATGCACTTTCTTGTGTATAATAGCGCTGGCATATTGGAATAGCCAATCAAATTTTGCTCACAATTCACTCTTCTACTGTGTATCCTCGGAAATGGTACACTTTTTTGTCTTCTTACATCATGAGTATAGAGCTTTAGGCCGATATTCATAATCGAGTCTTATTTCGAGACGATTAAGTAATGTCTTAAAACGCTAATGCTTCTGATTGGTTCATGACTTCTTAAGACTGTACTTAAGACTGTACTTGAATATAAGACTATGAATATCGATCTTACACTTAGCCAATGCTGAACGCCATCACTGTTGGCGGGTAGTTGAGTTTGTTCATAGAAGTTTATAGAAGTTAAATCTCTATGAAATTAAAAAAAAATAAAAATTGTGTAAAATTACATTGCTTAAAGTTTGTAGCAGTATTAGGTGTACAAATAAGTTTCCGCCGTTTTTTATCAAAAAATTAAGCATTTATTGTGGAAGAATGATATATAATGTTTTATTGAGTCAAAATGTAAGTCAAAATGTAAGTGCAAGTTCTTTTTGCGTTTGGCACGAATCTTCATTCAATAATGGTTCCAATTCGTACACTTTCGGCCTTCCGCTACGTTCTTTGTCTTTGACGTCAATTCACCGTTCTTAAATTTTTGAAACCATTCATAACTTCTCTCACTTAAGGCCTCACCATATGCTTCTACAAGCAATCGATGAGCTTTCAGCTGCAGATTTCTTCAAATTAAAGAAGTAAATCAAAAGTTCCCAAATGACGCTTATTCGGCTCAAAACTCGGCATTTTCGCACAAAAAAAAATATATGATGCTGATACAAAATCGCTAGTATTTCAAAGTTATGTTGTTGACAGATGTCCAACCTTACGATATAATGTTTTACAGACAATTTTAACCATAGCTTGCTAGTGGCGCTGTCTTTTGTCAAACGACGGAAACTTATTTGTATACCTAATATATTTCTTAATACAAATTGTAGTGTAAGAAAATATAAAGTGTATATTGGGTCATCTAAAAAGTATCCGCGGTACTTTGTCACTAGATATATAACCATCAACACACATCTAGTGACAAAAAACCGCGGATACTTTTTAGATGACCCAATATATTGTATAAAGTCTATATACAGTATTAAAATAAAAAACAAAGCGATCAAAACTTCATGAAAAAGATTAGAAAAAATTGCCTGGCTTCTAATTGGACACAACCTATTCACCTGAACAGTTTGCTACTCTTTTCCTGAGAGCAGAGATGACAGCTGAGAGATGTTTACGATGTGGCTATTGGTGCGGTTGCTGTGCCCAATATGGCGCTGGTAATGACCAACTAACGGCGAAGGGCAATTGGCGGTTGTAAATCGTTAGGTTGTGAATGAATGCTACTCGCTGATTCTAACTTTTATGCCATAAGGCGGTTTAATACAAACTTGACTAATTATTTAACAAATATAGATTACAAAAATAGAGACATGATTGCGTGCGTAAGACGGCTCGGTATTGCGTTGCTAGGTTAGAATACGGGAAATTAAGAAAATATACGCTGAGTATTTATCCGACGACGCTAATAATTATCACAAGACATGAGCGGTGATCGGTATCGATCTCGCTCAGTGAACACAAAGTAATTCGGAGCCCTAACTTCCGAGTTTTAACTTACTAACTATCGCAGAGACTTACACGAAGTCCGCACGCAGTACGGCATGACACCAGAGAGAGCGAAAGAAGGAAGAGCCGGAAAGAAGGACCAACTTCAGCGTCGCGACGAACGTTCGCAGCGCCGCAGCCAACGCTCGCAACGCCACAGTACTCCCCTCCCAGTGTAAACGTTAAAGAAAGAAATACTGGTTACATTATCGCTAGAACGAAAATAACAAAAAATAAAATTAAATGGAACAGAAATTTATACTTGTTGGTTGTTTGCTTAATGTATCATTACGCGAATTAATTCTTAAAATTAACAGTCTTTCGCTTGGTTGCTGGACTAGGATATGTCTTTGGTTCACCTTGCACTGGAATATTAGTTGAAGACGCAGTGGACAGAGTAGTTTCTGAGTCTTGGATTAATATATAAGCGGACTTAAGTCTATCGACAGTGGCGTTGATGCATTTGCCGTCGACTTCTATAGCAAAGACTTTGTCCGAAATGCGCTCTAATACCTTATGCGGTCCGGTGTATGGTTGATCCAGAGGACGTTTGTTGCCTTCTACTTTGAAGAAGACGTGATAGCAGTTATACAAGTCTTTATGGAAAAATAGCTTAGGTCTAATGTGATGAGAGGTTGGTCTAGGCCGCAACTTTTGCATAATTACGCGGAAATCCTCGACGAAAATTCGTGGGCCGCTCGGCATTTCTTCAGAGAAAAAAAATTCACCCGGTACTTTGAACGTAGTGCCGTACACTAATTCCGCTACAGAAGCGCCTAGATCCTCTTTGAGACAAGTTCTCAGTTCGAGTAGTACTACTGGTAATGTATCAGTCCATTGAGTTTCATCGTGGCACATTAATGCTGTTTTTAAAGAGCGATGCTGCACCATCGTTCGATGATGCCATTAGATTCTGGATGATATGCAGTTGTCCAACAATATTTAGAACCGACGAGTTGGGTTAATGTGTTGAACAGCTGCACTTCGAATTGCGAGCCTTGATCGGTCGTGATCAGGCGTGGAGCTCCGAATCTGGCTACCCAGTGAATGAAAAACTTCTTCGCCACCGTGTTTACTGTACAATCCTGTAATGGAATAGCCTCCGGCCAACGAGTAAATCAGTCAATCATTGTTAATAAATACCTGAAACTTTTGAATGGAGATGAGGAGAGGACCTACGATATCGATATGTACATGCTCGAAATGAGTACTGGTACTGATATTTTGGTAGACGAGGTATGCCGATGAATTTTAGATTGCTGGCATGCTAGACAAGTGCGGGCCCACTCTTTAATGTTCTTAGCCATGGAGGGCCACACAAATTTTTGTACAATTTGCCGGTGAGTTGCTCTGCCACTTGGATGCGACATTTGATGCACCATGTCAAAAACTCGTCTTCGTAATGGTCCAGGAATGTAAGGTCTGATCTCTTCTTCTGAAGTGTCACAGTAAATATTGGATGCTGTTTCCGATAAGGTAAACTTTTTGAGCTTCAAAGACGTTGATGTAGATTGCTTTAGTTGTTGCAATTCGTCATCCGAGGCTTGAGCTTCTGTGATCTTTTGCATATCGAGACTAGTTGGCATCACGATAGTGTCGGCGCGAAATAATGCATCTGCTACAATGTTTTCGGCGCCTGAAACGTGACGTACATCGGTTGTGAACTCCGAAATGAAGAGTAATTTGAAGAGTTTGTCTTGACGACATTTGATCTGATTTCCTCTTGAATGCATGCACGAGGGGTTTATGATCCGTGATAATTTCGTCCCTCTAGCATATATCGAAAATGTTTGATAGCCATATAGATAACTAATAGTTCTCTATCATATGCACTATACTTTGTTTGTGGCGTGAGCTTTCTTGAAAAGAAATCGAGTGGTTGTGAAAATCCGTTACTGTACTGTTGCAATACTGCGCCGATTGCTTTGTCTGAGGCGTTTGTTTGTAACGAGAGTCTTGCCTTGCTGTTTGGAAATCCGAGCGAGGTGGCTTGAGCGAGATGTTCCTTAACTCGTTGAGAGGATTGTTTGAACTCAGAAGTCCATTCTATTTTCGCATTGTTGTTGCGTTTACGTTCTGAGATTACCTTTAGCAATGGTGCTTGCGTGCTTACGAGATCTTTGAGAAACCGGTTGTAAAAGTTGAGCATTCCTAGGAAGCATCGAAGGTCCTTTGACCATAACTGGTTCCTGAAAATCGATAGCTTGGACTTTTTCGGGTAAGGCTTTGATGCCATCAGCGCTGATTGAATGTGCTCCCC